GTGACTGCCCTCGGTGCGGTGGCTGCTTTCTTATCTCGCTGTTTCTGTGTGCCTGAAAAGAGAACTGCCGGACCGGTGTTGCGGCCGATCTAGTTCGACAGATGAATCATACAAATCTAACACATCTTGATTTGCGCAAGTACCTTTTTTGCCCCGTGTCTTGCTACAGGACGCCTCTGCACTGGTGTCTGGATGTTCGTCATCCCTCGCATGCTCAATGAACAGCGATGCTTCCTCTGCTGTTAGTTTGTCCAAGAAGCTGCTCTTGCACTTGACGCTCTTAGAGCCTTCTAGCGTGCTGCTGCTTGGCGTTACTGGTGTACCTGTAGTAGCTCTTGCTATTGTTACAGCTGATGCCGTTGTACCCACCGCCGCTGGTGGCGCGGGTGTTGTAGTAGATGTTGTTGTAGCTGTAGTTGCTGTTGTTGTTTTTTTTTATGTTTTTTTGTTTTTTGTTGTTTTTTGTTTGTTGAAATCATCTTTTTCGTACGACCGCCTGCTCGACGAGGCGAGCTCAGCAGTCTAAGGTTTTATAGGGGATCTTCAAAGTCCGCCGCGCCAGCGCCCCTTGTCGCGGTAAGGCCACCGTTACTCTCCGATGCGGCCCGGTGTCGGAAAGGTGCCGTTATAATACAGCCGGTTTATACCCTCCTGGCTGCAAACCGTCCAATAGGAACGGTGTCGCTTAACACCCTGGATTAAGAGATGGCAGTGGTGGAAGGTAGCGTGGAGGCTGCCACATCCGCGTTACCTTAGACCAGAGGAGGACCGGTTGGTGATTCAGCTAAGCCCCCGCTCCAACGACAAGGTGCCTGCCCTCGCGAGGGATGTATGTACATTAGGGTGATCCAAAAAAGTAAAGTCGGAAATTTAATGCTCTCACCCCCTAGGATTGTTCTATACCGAAAAAAAATATACCCCTGTTTTTTATTTTAAAATCAAAATATATTTAGAGGTCGCTCAAAGCGCTCAAAGTTTCCCATGTATTTTGTATGGGGAAAAAAAGACTTTTCGTAGAAATGGCATAGAATCCATGGAAATCCAAATTTTAATCTGAAAACTCTGCTTCTCTTCTTCAGACTTCAGAGAATAATGCCCAATTGTTTATTTAAACATTTTTTAATTTTAACTATTTTTTAAGGGTCTCCGAAATATCCAAAAAAAAATCAAATATACAAACAGAAATATACAAAAGAAAAAAAGAAAAAAATAGTTTAAATTAAAAAACGTTTAAATACATAATTGGGCATTGTTCTCTGAAGTCTTCTGAAGAGAAGCAGAGTTTTCAGATTGAAAAATTTTTATTTCCATGGATTCTAGCCATTTCTACGAAAAGTCTTTTTTTCCCCATACAAAATACATGGGAAACTTTGAGCGACCTCTAAATATATTTTGATTTTAAAATAAAAAAACAGGGGTATATTTTTTTCGGTATAGAACAATCCTAGGGGGTGAGAGCATTAAATTTCCGATTTTACTTTTCTAGCATAAATTTTTGGACCACCCTAATGTACATACATACTGTTAAATGAAGGTACATATTCCAAATGAGTGAAGATTGTTAATTAGGAGTCTTACAGCCCGATTCCGCATCACTGACAAGTTCACCACAGTCACTTTCATGACAGCTAGTCATTGTTCGCTATTCTAGCGCTCTAACAAAAGCTTGTTTTGCTGACAGTCTTATCAGTTCTAGAAAAGGTGCTGACAGCGGTTTATTATGTTAATTTTTGAAATTTGTGAAATTGTGAAATTATGGAGGAAGAAATTTTAATTTATGCATTGGCTATGAAAGCCCAGGAAAAAAAAGAAAAAATTGATAAAATGGAAAAATGGAGTGATACACTAGGGCTGGGCATCTCCAAAATGCAAAAATTTTTATTCTATAAAAAAATTCTTATAAAAAAATGGTTTAATCAACAACATATATAATAACATATACATTTATATACAAATAAAATTCCTAAACTTTGTGCAAAACTGGCGAAAATTCAGCAAATTTTCGTCAAAATTTTCAACTTTTTAATCAGATTTTTATAAAAATTTTTGAGTATGCAATTTTGCAGCCAATTAAATTCTAGTAAAGAAAATGCAAGTTCGGAGTTAGTCAAAAATCGTGTTGATTTTTGAGAATTTTTTTTTGTTGAAGGTGTTTTGCATTTTTTCCATATAAAGTAAAAAAAAATTTTGTATGGAAGAGACTGCGTGAAAACAAATTGCCAAAAATCAACGGTAATTCCTAGCTACTTAAAACTTGCACTTTATTATAATAAAATTGCGCTACAAATCTGCATACTCAAAAAAATTCTAAAAAATCTGATTAAAAAGTTAAAAATTTTCATGAAAATTTGCTGCATTTTCGTGAGTTTTGCATAAAGTTTAGGAATTATATTTTTATGTTTTTTGTTGTAGTATGAACTATACTTTTATACGAAATTAGCAGAAAAATATTAGAATGAAAATTGTTGCATATATTGTGAAAAATTTGCTGTGCCAATAGTTTGTTCCGGCAGTGTATGTATATATAACCTCTTTCCATTTGATTGCCGTGCGTATTGGATCATTTAAGGAACTCAGCCCTTGTGCTACCTCCTCCCAAAGCAATTGCATATGCCGCGGCTCCTTTGGATTGTTTTTGCCTGCTTGGAACTCCGTTCAAACTTTACGCACCTACATACATTTATATGTAGCACACATATTATTTCAAAAGAAAAGAAAATAAAGAAGTTTTTATCACACTATCAAAATAATAACACATTTTAAGTATTTTTTTACATAAAATATGTAAACAAACTTACTTCTTCTCAGTTGAAATCTGTTTGACTTAACTCACCAGTCAGCTGTTTTGCCTTTCATTGCGTGGTGAGTTTAAAGAGCTTTCAGCTTTTCAGTCATCGAACTAGAATAGCAGGGGAGCTTTCAACTGACAACGTCTCTGACATGGCAGCACTGACAAGCAACGCTGTCAGTTTTTACAGAATCGGGCTGTATGGCGAAACTTATACTCCATGCTCCAGTTTGAGAGCCATTACTGTATTCGTCACAAGCTGAATGGCTTTGATTTGCCTCTCAGCACTCATTTCGGCAATGGTCGCGACAATCGTCTGTCCAAAAGCACGTAATGTTTCGCTGCATTTCGGTGTCAGCTGTTCTTTGCAAACATATTTGTACAACTCCAATGCCACACGAAATTCTTCGTTGGCATTATCAGACTTTTTGCGCTTTCGACGTGGTGCCACTACACCCGACAATTGCTCTTACAACAGCTCTTGTGGCAATAGCGGTGGGGATTGCGGCACAGAATCATGGATTCGTTTAAAATAGGGGATGATGTTTGCGAGGAAGGTGAACTTAGCGAAATGGTTTCCTCCAACACGTTGATTATACATCGATTACTGGGAAAATTTTTATGTTAATAACAATCATTCCGCATTGCATAACATATTTACTTTCGTGGTTTCACATAAGGTTTAAGAAAATTTAGTTGATCAAACAAGGACCAAGCTGTTGAGCTTTTTGCAGCGCTTCCGGACGGTGCATCCAACGCCTTGTATTCTCTTTTGTATCGCTCGCGCAGTGTCTTCCAACGTTTTGTGCATTCTTCCACTGCAACAAAACATGAAAAAATAATGAAATACAGTGATATCAATACATGAAGAGTAATCTGTGGCTCCTAAATCGTTGGCTATAGCCTCCCATGCCGATTGCCTTTTTAGTGGCAGCCTGTAGCCCGAGGAAAATTTATTATAAACGACGTCCTGGCTGTGCACTAGTTGCACCAAACGATCGTCGTCGAACATCTTGAAATAGAATAAAATATTGTATAGAAATCAGGATTTCTTGCAAATGTAATCATATTAAATATACTTACAATATAATTAAATTTATTGTTTCGCTTTCTGATTTCAATTGAATGATCAAACAAATATAAAAGCTATCGACACAAAGGGGCTATTTACGGTGTATGAACAAAAACAGCTGATTTTTGGTTTTTTTAGGTATGCATATGTATTTGTTAACAGACGAATTTATTCAAGTGGCTATTAAGTGGTTTTAATGTGGCACATTCATAGTCCAAATTAAGTCGACTCGAAAAGATCTTTGAAGCAATAATAATGAAGAAAATGAAATAAATAAACAAATAATTAATAAAAAATCGCGCAATATAATCTTAATATATAGATATATTAAAATTTCTAGCCTGCGGCGTTTATATTTTTCTCATATAACTGCATTTTAGGTATAAGTGCATAATACGTACCTTTACCTGATTAAAAAAATGTATATTAGGATCGATA